CTGTGCAGTGTGTGCTTTTTGACGGGTAGTTGTGTGCGTGTGTGTGTGTGGGTGTGTGTGTGTGTGTGTGTGTGTGTGTGTGTGTGAGTGTGAGTGTGTGTGTGTGTGTGTGAGAGAGTGTGTGAGTGTGAGTGTGTGTGTGTGAGAGAGTGTGTGTGTGTGTGTCGTCTCTCAGCAGAATGAAAATGGCGTCCCTGATTGCAGCGCAGAAACGAGCACGTCGTGTAACGAGATTCCTGCCGGATATAATTGAGCTCAAGTCAGTGGGGTCCAGTGTTGATTGGTTCCCAGTGTTCTTCGAACATGAGAGAGAGTGAATAACGACGGAATGAAAGTGTGTTAAAAAATAAACTTATATAATAATATAAAAATGTTATAAAAATACAGTAAAAGTGTGGTAGATTTCCAAAAGGGATGCAGTATATTTACGTGTTCATGATTTATTAAATATGAAGAGTTATGAATCAGTCAGTGTATGATGAGTATCAGCTCATGAGTCCTGAGTTCATTTATGTAACACATTTCATAGACAAGGACTTAAGAAAAGGTGCATGAGAAATAAAAAATACAGATATAAAACAGTAAAATTATTAAATCAAATGGATCAGTGAATTAAAAATAAAAAAGAAGAGTGGCATCCATGAAAGCATGATTATTAATTCAGCTGGTGGTTGCTTTCATCATCTATGTGAGTGTGTAACTGTCATGAAGAGTGTGTGTGTGTGTGTGTGTGTGTGTGTGTGTGTGTGTCGTCTCTCAGCAGAATGAAGTGTCCCTGACAGTGTGTGTCAGTGGTGTATTATTGTGGCTCCAGGTAAGTGAGATCTCATCTGAGTGTGTGTGTGTGTGTGTGTGTGTGTGTGTGTGTGTGTGTGTGTGTGTGTGAGTGTGTGTGTGTGTGTGTGTGTGATTGAATGTGTGAGTGTGTGAGTGTGCTTTTCCTGTTTGTCCCGGAGTTGTTGATCGATTCCAATCCAATGAGAGGAATAACGCCAATTAATCATGTTGCCATGGCAGCAGTTGCCGAGGGGTTTCCTCAGGAACAGAAAGAGAGGAGGAAGAAGAAATGAACACAGGAAGAACAGAAACCGCTGAACGTGAGCTGTGTAGTATGTAGTATGCAGTATATGGGAGACTGTTTCAGACACTCGTCAGTGAATCATCACCTCTGATGCTTCATACAGCCAGCGCTTCAGATTACTGTTGTTATTGTTATTGTTTATTTGATAAATGGCTATTTGTTAATTGACAAACATGATAATTTCAGCATTTGTAAGGCGTTTTGCGTAAATTCAAACTGTGTAGTAACAAATTCTTCTTTGTGATGTTTATTTGAACATTAGAGATCCAGAAGATGTAATTCAAGAATGACGAAGGTAAAATGATATAAAATTACTGTATTTATCTGGCTTACCAGATTTTGTGTGTGGCGTTCAGCTGAGCGTTCGTGGCCGTTGAAAGGTGAATGTTCAGAATCACTCATGTGATCAGAGTGGCTGAAATGATTAGTTCATCAGCATTTCCAGTTGTTTTGTGTTAGATGTCGTTTGGAGAGTTGAATCATAAGTCTGAGCGACAGACTTTCAGCAGAAACTCATTGAAACATTGAGAACCTCAAGAGACTGTGAGATATGTGTGTGTGTGTGTAACTTTACTGAAATAAAGCTGGAAATACAGGACATGATCAGATGTTACATTAGCATGTGACTCAAGCTGATTATATAGAAACTTTGATTTCATTAGGATTCTTAGTTTGACCCTAAAAGCACCTTTTGAGGACATCCTGTTACGGTATAAAAATAAAGTTTTTTTTTTTTTTTGCTAAAAATCAAGCATATCGTTAGTTCTGGCAGGTCACGTTAGTCAAGCTCGCATCAGCTGACTCTCAGCTGATCCCCATCTACCTATAGGAATACGACACCTATCTAAGCATTCATATATAAGGTCCCTCAGTATTATCAGCAGTTTTCGCATTGCTCAATAGCTAATTAAATGGTGAATTTGGCAGGCAAAACACCATCAGCGGGAATCTGGAATTTAGCGAGTGGAATTCATTTCCCCAATGGACTCACCTCCGATTCATTCAAGTTCGTTAACTTAAACACGTGAATTCACCGCATTGATCATAAGCTGCCTGATTCGGAAGTGACTGAGTTAGCATTACATCACGCATCTCTATATTATTGTCATGGACTCCACAAGTTATGTGACTGACTCAAGAACAAGTTCAGATGGGAACTTCATCCCCAAGAAGGATATCAAGAGATCAAGCATCCACTTCACAGCTGCTATGTTTCACTCTCTCGAACGTCTTCACAAGCTAAGTTCCATTTAATGC